AGTAGTAGTAGTAGTAGTAGTAGTAGTAGTAGTAGTAGTAGTAGTAGCAAAGTAAAGCCCCACGCCAAGAAGGTTGCCGTTCTGGAACTGGTGACATGAGTTTCAGGATCACCTTCCCAGATCAAGTAGATTGCACAATCAGGGTGCCATTGAACCTCTGCAACCACTGGTCCGTGAACCTAACTAAGACATGACGGTCAAGTCCTAGGTCCTATAGATCGAACTCGTTAGTACTCGAGATCCAAAAATCGGCCTACCCTAACTCGTCGAGTTCAAAGCAAAAATGGGGGTCTGATGCGGATAGCGAAGTTGAACCATGCGGATACCCCTGGGAGTCCAGTCGACTAGTTTTTGACGGTCTTTAGGAGCTTATCGTCTTTGGACTTCTAGGAGAAGGACAGCATCGTCTTGTGGTTCTCGTGCCTAAGAACGTTACACAAGGAAATTAACAAATGTGGCACCCAGACGCTCCATGTATGCCACATATGCCTACATCGGGGTTGTTTGGGGGATCAATGGGGCGGCATTTCTGGCAGTCCCATGGAGGAGTGTATGTGGCAGGTGATTCATCCGGAATCCCAGTGTTCAAAGTCCTGCACCTGGAGGTCTACTACAACCTCAAACCGAAGGGCGCCAACAAAAAACAACGAAACAAGCACTGCATACCAGCACCACCCAAAGGGTGGCTATTCCTAGACATCCATATGTACCACTAAATCTGGTACATGGCACGTATGGACCATATGTGCGTGAAAAACCATATGTACGTGAAACTGCGTGAAAATGCCAGGAACCACAATTTTGCACATGTCCTTGGACATCCTATAGTATGTGTTTGAAACTTCCGCTGCTTTAAAAAAGTTGCACTGCAGTACATGAAACAAGGTTTCTTTGGGTGCAGTTTTTGTGAGTGATTTGCGTTCGCAGCGCCGATCGCCCTGCATGATCAAGTGACCTTATGAACATTTATGAACCGCAACCAATGTACACTACACAAACTAACCATGCTCTAGCACAGTCTAAGATTTCCCTATATACTATGTGTTATAATGACTGTGTACAAAATCAGAAAACAACTTAGTTGATTCTGTTTTCCTTGGGAAGATCCCATAAAACCTATCAAAAGATGCATGCGCAAACATGTACATATGTTTTTTTAGGGCGTGTGGTGGGGCGACGGCGCGACCGGGGGCGGGCCGGCAGCGAGCATGGGCCCTCCAGGAGGCGAGGAAACAGAGACTGTGGGGGAGGTGGGATGGATTGGGAGCCCAGGGATTGTATGGCCATCTGTTTCCAATACAGGTGAGATGTCTAGTGGAAATTTAGTCAACAACAAGTCCAATTTATAGATGAAGTTTTTGCATGTTTTCACTCAATGCCTTGCTGGTTTCAAGCTTTGGCTCAAAATTTTATTCCCATTCCGAGATTGAATGAACATGGCGGGACTGATGCAATGGCGACCTCGATTTGTCACATGGTTGTTGATCACAGTATTTTTTCTTAGTTTTTCTGGTGTCCCCTGATTGTTTAAACATTGGGAAATGTTTTGCCCTGCAAGACTAGTTTTACTCTTGATTGACCCTGGATCTAAGGGAGGGTTTCCTCCCCCGCACCCGAAGACACCGGCAGCTGGCAGCGCTTTTGGTCTTGTGCCCTCGGCAAAGTATCGCCCTTCAAGCGCATCTAGAATGGAGGAACCTGACAAGAAGGCTGTGGTCCACGCTGTTGAAAATGCTTTGGGAGAGGGGCTGAATAGATTGAAATATTTGAGCCCTTGAGGCAGGGCGATTGAAAATAGATTGAAGTAATGTTGGGTGATTGTTGGATGAACCCCTTCAGGTGTCTGATGATGAGACCTCAGAGGTGCCATCAAGTGGGGCTGGAATGGAGGAAGTGGACAAGTCGCTACCACTGGAAGATATTGAGAAGAAGGCCACGGTAGACCCTGCGCCTGCAATGGCACTTCCGAAGGCCAAGAAGCGACCAGCTGTGTCTTGGGCTTTAAATTTGTAAAACAGTTTTTTGTTTTTCTGGTGTCCTCTTCACGTGTAGTAGACATGTGCCCAATCAACAACCATCGAGGAGCTGATGGATCCTGAACTATATGCACAGATTAAACGCACCAGGAGAATGTTTGGTAAAGTTGCCCGTGAATTGGAACTTGGGACCTGTTATGAAAGGTTTTGGTGTGTTTTGGTGATGGTTAAATGGGAAAGTGTTATATGATATGTTTGATATATTTCTTCTGACTCTGATTTTGTCTGGTTTGCCCTATACTTGGCTGTGAGGATGAACAAATGACGGATATGCACCTCAAAGTCAAATCTCTGTTTAAATTGGTGGAAGATCTGCCAGGCCCATAGGGTCACAAACCGCTCGCATTGCAACTGTCTATAATATATGGGCGCGCAAAAAAAATGAGCGCTCAGGCCAGGGAATGTGGGGGTCTCTCTTTAATGTATAGGACCCTTGGAGAACTGTCAAAGGTGTGTTGAGGGCATATTTGAACAGAATGCCAAATTTCAATGTTTCAACATCTCTATGTATACGACAAGTGTTCAATCTCCATGTTGAACCGGGTAGGTGGGTGCATGGTGTGCTTGGGCGACAAAGAACATTTTACTTGTGGGAACTCCATTTTGCTGGCTCCAAATCCTTCCAATGGGGAGTGTTGAATGCTTGCGCCACGTGTGGGGTACCATGTGCTGCGTGATCCAGGCTCATGGCGCGCTGTGCATGGTGCCGGCTCTGATGCTGGCAGTTGCTGGCCATGGTTGGGGGCCCTAGGCTATTTGGACGCCAAAGGTGGTATGTTTACAGACTGTTTACATATATGTAAGAATCTGGAATAGTGCTATCCACCCTTTGTCCCTGCTATCCACCGCCTCCTTGCTATCCACCCTTTGTCCCTGATTGTGTGCCCGGCCTCAGGCTCTTTGGCTTCTGAAACATGGTACGCCTCCCACGCGCTGGCTGGGAAGTGGCGTGGGTTGTGGAGTGGTCTTTCGAAGGTCTTTGAAAGGTCTCTGAAACATGAGATTTGATGTCATTTCGTATGAGCTGTGTGACTATCACAGAAATTTTGGCCCTGGGTGTGAGGGTATCGATCGAACAGTGCCATCAAACTAGGCTTACAAGGTTCAACTGGATATTTTAAGATCAGTCTGAATATGGTATAGACTGGAAAGCCAACCATTGGACCAATGGACATTATATAAATGGAGGACTATGTGATCTTCACTGCTAATATACAATGTAAACTGTTAAGCCAACCATTGGACACAGTTGGGTGACCACTTGATCTTCACTGCCCAAACTTGTGGCTGTGGGAGCCATTATGGCTACAGATGCGCAAAGAAGTGCTGAGTATGCAAGGGCTTTTGGTGAGCGGCCTCACCTCAAAGAGGTTCATTGGGGCCACAAATGATGTTTTTCTTTTACTTGATAGGGTGAAAGGAACCTATATCCTTTGAATGTGTGAATAGGAAAAGCTTTAAACGTGTTCTTTGGCGCTAACCCTTCAGGTGGGCTTCTCCTTCCTATGCAATGCCACTGGGCGTCTGTTCACCAAGGGACAGATCAGCCTAAGTGATGTGGACGCCAACTATGACCCAATATATTGCGTGATGAAGGTGAGCCATGGGACAGGGAGGTACTCTGCACATCTTTTGAAGGAAGCGATCATCAAGCACTATGAGTGGTGCAAGCTCTATCCATGTGGTATCACTTCATGCATGCAGTGCATACAGGACTGGGCGCTGAAGCTGGGAAAAGCACTTCAACGACTTGTAGCTGGGCTGATCTTTTGAAGTGTTCCCTAATTTGGGCTGTTGATTAGTTGGATTGTTGGGGATATGCTTTCCTGGAAAAAAACTCCTTTGAAACCAATGATCAAATGCCCCATTCTCCAGGTCAGCAGGTTTCGCCGCTTGTACCGGCTTGCAGCCTCCTCCAAGAAGTCCAACATCCGGCGCCTCAAGAAGGATCTGGAGGGCCAAGTGGAACCTGGTCCCTTCATTCATGTTGGCCCACTATGGTTCTGAGTTGCTATAAAAATGTTTTGGAACTCAGGTGAGGTGCACGGTACCTTTGAATGTCCCTATACCACAAAAATGGTTTCAAAAGTTGGCTTCTATTTGATTATCTAAGGACTTTGTTCCTGGGACAGCGCATCTAGATGATGAATCTGAAGAAGAATGTACAGAAGAGAGTTCTTCTGCTTCGGTCGCCACGCTGTCGGAGCTACATCGGTCGGTTCCTGGCACTGTTCATTACATGTTTTTTTCTTCCCATATTAGTAAACACAGGTGGGTTGGTCTTGTGGGGCATTGATTCACCTTTCTCTATTTTTAGGCTGCTATTGAGAGCACTCTGCCTAAGCTTCCTGGGGCACTGGGTTCTAGTGGCCAACATGGTGATCAGAAGATCATGGATGTGGCCTTGCAATTGAAGGCTGCCAGGGAACACGCTGCCAAAACTTTGCAGAAAAATCAATTGACACCTAGCTAATTTGGCGTGCAACTTTTGTTTTGATTGAAGTTGGATGGTACCTTTTTTGCCAATAGGGAGTTCTTGAATTGAAATCCATTGGCCGACCACTGTCAGGTCATCTGGTGCAGAGTCCATGGCTGAGAAGCTGGCGAAAGCACTGCAAGAAGTGAGAGGCCAAGCCCAACCTCAGGAAAGCGGCCCTGGTGGTACCCATGTCCTGCCTGCCTTTGCACCATGTCTGATTCGACTCTGTCTTTGTTTTTTGAATTTGAATACGTGTCCTTTGAGTTAAGTATATAATGGTAATGATTAAGCCGTGATCATTCAGTCTATGTATATATAGATGCATAATGCTTTTCTTTCCACTCGATCAGGTATTGAAGAGCATTCAAAACATT